AGAAAACTTAATGCAAGAAGGATGTTCAACGCAATGTACTTTGAATATGAGACTTCGTTTCCATAGAGTTGATCTCCATTGGAATACTCTGTAATGTCTGTTGACAAGTCTTTGTGACTTTGTGCATAATCATTACAGAGGATCAGTGCATATAAGTTTAAAATCTAACAAGATTTCGGTAAATGGCAGGAATTTGGAATTCTTGCATTTGCGGTAAGGATTTAGGATTGTGAAATGGGAATCATTGGAATTATGTTCAATCGATCTATTTCACAAAGTAAAAGATCATAGACAAACTTAGTGTACATACTTGGTATATGGCATAACTAATGTTTGAAAAAACATAGTGTGCATACTTGGTGTATGGCATGACTAGTGTTTAGAAAACATAGTGTACATGCTTGGAGCATGGGACAACTATTGTTTTAATTCAAATATCAAGTTGATAATTTGAAACAGTATGCAATGAATAATGTGTACTCAATATGGTGATAAATAAAAGGTGTTCTATTTATATTCATAAGTTTTGAGACCATATTGGATTCGATTATTCTTGTGTTTCACTTTGCATGTTTTGACTTCCAGAATAACTAGGTCGTTCTTCCTGAATGACTAAGTTATTCAAACCATCCACAGTCGATAATACGTTGGAAGTAGGTATTAAGGCAAGACTGTCATGAAGCTGGTTTGTAGATGTCCAAGGTAGTGGACATACCAAGAGTTGCTACAACATTCATGAGTGCTCATAAGTTCTGAGTATTGGATTAAACCCACACTCATTTGACTCACTTCATGGATTTTATCACGAGTGATCATGAGACGATAATATCTTATATTCTTCAAACCTAGAGATATGAGTTGTTGCCTATGAGTTGGTTATACATTGATTGTACGAAAAAGCATTGGTAACTCGATGTTATAAAACGTGCCTTTGTGTATGATTCAACAAGTAGTAGAACAAGCATATGAGTCGAAGTTTATCCATTCCTTTTACCCTTAAAGGGATAAAAGCGATATGTGTGGGCCCCTCGATGATTTAGTGATGACACCCCGAAGTGCTTGGCCAAGCCTGGACTGATTTGATTTGTTCAATTAGTCGATCGTCATAAATCGGAAATCGGGAAACAACAAATGGACAGAGAGAATGATTATAATCCATGTCTCAATCCATATTATATCTAGAATGGAGGAATATATGATCCCTTATCTAATGGACGCGTCATTGATTTGTTCAGAGTTCGATAGCAACTTTTAAGAGCTACGATTGCTAGTCGAGTTTTGAAGTCATACGCAATAATAGTTTTAGACTTATCCAAGTGGGAGACTGTTGGATTAGTGTCTAAGTCCATAACTATAATTGGTATGTACTTGACCCGATTGGCATGGTCCATTTGGGTTGCATGGCATCGGAACAATTTGGATAGACTTTTGTGAGAAAAGGGTATTTATGATTTGTTAATATATTATAAGTTCTAATATATTAATATATGAAATCATATTATTTAATTAGTATTGATCAAGAATTAATTTGGAATTAATTTTGTGATCAAAAGGAGACTAATTAAATATATGGGGATTGATTGTGTAAATCATTCATTCTTATATATGTGGGCTTATGATCCATAGTTCTTCATGTTGGGCTAAACCCATGGAGGTTTTAACCCATGGAGCATGAAGAATATGGAAAGACATGGGTTACATGGTGTAACCCTAATAGCCACAATATATAAGGACCCCATGGCTCAAGAAATTGGCACTAGTGTGTGTACACATGAGGGCTAGCCGATTTGAGCATAAAAACCTTTTCTCCCAAGTTATTCCAAGAGGTTGGTGATGTTGTGTGAACCATTTGAGGTGTCACACTTAAGGCACTAGGCTCTTAAGCTCCATGGAATCAAGCTACAACAAAAGGTATGTATTCTACCTTGTTTTATTACCCATGTATCAAAGATTGTATGCTAGTTAGGGTAATACCTTGGAAACTTCAAGTTTGCATGTATAATAGAGAAAACATAGATCCAAGGTATTTAGGGTTGCATGTACACCATAGGAGTGTTAGAATGCTCAAAACCCTTCAGCTTTATCACACAAGTATTAGGGTTTCAATACTACCATTTTTACACATTCAGAAAATATAGGATTTTCTGGGGAATACAATTGTATACGAATTTGAAAATGATAAACTAACACACAAGCAACTATACTTGATTTAAAACGAGACTTACAACTATTTTGATAAGAAAATATTGGATTTTCTGGTTTTCCAACTGACACAAATTTTATACAAATTCTTATGAACTCACCAACATATTTTTATGTTGACGATTTTCAAACGACTTGTATTCTCAGGAAATCAGTAAGCAGGTTTGTGAGCCGCGGATGCTGAATTATTTTGATGTATTTTGGAACTTACTCACAATTGTTTCTTTTGTGTAATTCGAAAACATAAACATGATGTAAAACAATGTAAGTTGATTATATTGATGTATGAAGTTTGTATTTGCCATGTTTCATTTATATTAAGTTGTTATGGTACTACACAATGAAGTCACCCGCCTCCGGACGTTTCCGCCGCCTGGTCCGGGGGTGTGACAGAAAGTGGTGGGATCTCTCCCACCAAGGGAGAGTCTTCTCTCCCATCCATGTTCTTGTATTGTAATATTTTATCTCTCTTTTCTAATCTATGGAATTTCTCATCATATGTTCTTCATGTTCTTCATTTTATGTTCGGTAAATCTCAAGATATTATTTATTCCGCATCCACCAATCGTCAAAATGGGTCTTAACACCATTAATAATAATATTACAAACTTTTGTGACTATGAGCACTATTTCTAATGGTATCAAGATTTTCCACCCCTACTGATTGTTGGGGGAGGAGCTTGATTCGTCCAGAGTATTTCCGATGCGGTCTATTCAATGTCATATTGTTGATACCCGAATTCCTATATGTGGTATTGCTACTCGATGAAATAGGTTTATTCCCATAACGATTAATGTCTTTATATGACATGTTTTGTTGGATTGCATTCCTATGAGGTGTAACCTCGATGAGAGGGGTATTGATCTTGATTTTGTGTTGTATCCAGTTTTTAGAAAGGATACGGAAGATGTTAGTCACTTCTTTTTCAAGTGCTCGTTAGCTAAAGAGTTGTAGAGACATGTGGCTAAATGGGTGGATACTGCCCTTCTTGAGGTTGTCTCTGCCTTGGATATGGTTTAGCGGATTGATGGGCGTTCCAACACTCGACTGGAGCGGGTGATTTTGAACTCGATTTTCATGATTGTTATTTGGACTTATCGGTACATGTTATTCTTTCATAAGTATAGGAAACACTTTATTTTTTATAACATTGTTGCTTTCTTTTAATTTGTTTTTTTTTTTTTCGAAATGCTAAGGCTAAAAAGAATTGAATGTACGGATTAAATATCTAATTTTTATTTTTGTGTTGCTATCCACTATTTAGCTTCCATTTATAACAGTATATGTCTTCGTTCCAAGTTTCCAACAAACAATTTGATTTTTTTCTATATTTCATTTTCAAGTATATCAAACACGACTACTTCATAACTTATATGCAAATTTATATCTCAATATTGCAAAAAAAAAAAAAAAAAAAAAAAAAACAAAAACAAAATAAAGAAAGAAAGAAATTTGTCGAAGGCTTGTGCATACCAACGGTCGACATTCCACAATGGGCACAAATGGTCGACATTCAAAAGCTTAAAATTGCATTTTACCTAATCTTTTTATGTTGAATTACAAAATGAACCCTAATATCGAGTAATTTGCAATCAAATACCTATGATTTCTAATTAGTGCAACCACTACCTTCTCTATTGTTGTTCATGCCCAAAGTCAATTAGTGCACATGAATACTTGAAATCTCTTCTGACATAGTACTCTGGAATTGAAAAATCATTGTTACCATCTACCCGACATCATAAAAGACATCTATATTTTTAATTGTATATCGTCCTAAAGTTGAACTCTATGAGATTCAAACCGGCCAACTCCATTTTAGAATGTTTCTTGCCGAATGATCACCACTATGTCTCCTTGATGGTGATCTTGAAATGCTTCATATAGACTCTATACATGGTGTATCGGGACAAACTTTTGTTAACAAGAAATTTAGATACGTTTATTATCAAACTTTTCATAATAATTGCTAAAAATTTCGTAAGATATTTAACTATACAAATAAAATGGGCTTCAAATAAAATGAAAATACAAAACACATTCATAAAGTGGATTTCGATATGAAAAAAAAAGTGTTAAACTTTTCACATCAACATTGTGTTATGATATGTAAAAGAGTCGTTGGAAAGGATTGTGAGGTTTTGGAATTTTTTAAAAGTTTGTTGTCTTTTTTAGGGTGAGCAATATATTCGTTAGAACTTAACTGAATCAGAACCTACTGGAAGCAAAATTGGAACGATTGGGAACCAAATATGTAATTCGTTGGAATCATACCGAACCAGAGCCAAAACCGATTAGAACTGATTGGGAACCGTGTAATTCGGTTCGGTTCCTCCATATCCACAAATGTGGTTCTCGTTTTCTATATTTCAGTTGAGTTCGGTTCGGTTTCAGAACCGAACTCACCCCTAGTGTTTTTTCTTTAAATTGTCTTGCCACCATTTTCCATGAAAAAAATATTATTGTACATGATACATGCAAATCAATATGGTTTGCAAGGTATTACACAAGCCGAAATTTAACTAACAGATTTAATAAAGTTGATTAAGATTAATTTTTTCTCTTAAAAAGTCACATGTAATGTATAACAATTATCGTCTACGATCGATTTTCAAGCTATATATAATTTTGTGGACATTTTCGAATTCACATGACTTGAAATAGAGCATAAACACCAATGTAGTAATGTTGAGTTGCAACAAATCAATAATACACATAGACCAAATTGAAACAATTCCACAACTCAAGGTTCATTTGGTTTCTTTTTATCGTGCGAATAATTAATTACAGAAATACAGCAATAAATAAACAAAAAACCGATCTTTGTCGGACGTCATCTCTTCGCCGGCGAACTTCTTTCCGGTATTGTTTGCAAAGAACAATTCCGGCAAGTTTCCGGTGAATGAAAAAAAATCTGTGAAAAAAAAAAGAATTAAAGATGAGAGATTCTTCTCCTTCATTTTTCTCTCGATTCTGGTCTTCAGCTCTCAGAGCTAAACCACTTAGCAATTCATCGGACGTCGTTCGTATAAACTCCGGCGAAGGCCTAGTTCGCCGCCTCGGGCCTTTTGACCTCATTCTCCTCGGCATTGGCGCTTCAATTGGAGCCGGCATCTTCGTCGTCACCGGCACCGTCGCGCGCGATGCTGGTCCTGGTTAGTCTCAGTAAAAAAAATAAGTTCAAATCAAGTGTTTTACCCAATCTATAACATGCAATTAAATGTCGGAGACGAAGTGATAGTTTGTTTTATGTTAGTTATGTTCTGCATATGAATTGTATAAAACTTAGATTTAGGGTTTTCTTTTCTTGTTCTCCTAGCTGGTCCAAATTCCCATGCATTACTCTCAATTCGAACAAGGAGACTCAACTCCGAAGCATTGTTTAACTTGGTTTAACAAGTTGACGATGAACTTCAAATCCATATCCTGATTAGCATTTAGCATGAATCAGGTCGGATAAAACAGAATCAAATCAATCAATATCATTTCTGTTGTTTATAATGATACTCTTACATCGATCTGGATCCTTCATAGTATTTCCATGTTCGGAAGATGATTCCTGTAGTGAACATATCAAGAACATACTTCTATTTAGACAGTAGAATCCCTTATAGGAAACATCATAGATCCATGACCTGAAATTAGACTCTAGAAAGTGCTTTAACTCTGAAATCTTGATACCATCATCTCATTTGATGATAATCTCAGACTAATAATGCCTCAAGAACACTGAATAATGAATAATCTTAGTAAGATAGGTCATAAACAAAGATAATGATGATCTAGAAGATTGTCTTGAGAATTAATTACTAACAGTTTTTATTATTTTCAGGAGTGACAATTAGCTTTATACTAGCAGGAGCATCATGTGTGTTGAATGCTCTTTGTTATGCTGAGCTGGCATCTCGTTTTCCTGCAGTTGTTGGAGGAGCATACTTATATACCTACACAGCTTTCAATGAACTCACTGCTTTTCTTGTTTTTACACAAATGATGCTTGATTATCATATTGGTGCAGCTAGCATAGCAAGGAGTTTAGCAAGTTATATCATTAACATATTAGAACTTCTACCCTTTTTTAAAAACAATATTCCAAATTGGATTGGACATGGTGGAAAGGAGATTTTTGGGTTTATATCTATTAATCTATTGGCTCCTGTTCTACTTGTAGTCTTGACTTTGATCCTCTGTCGTGGGGTTGGAGAATCTTCATTAGTGAATACCATTATGACTATAACCAAGGTAATGTATTACAATTATTGTCTTTTGTTAATTGGGTATTCAATGATGGAATTAAAGAATGGATGGAATGGAATCGATCGTGTCATTACAATAAAAATGTTGTTTGTTTTGTTGGATGGAGTGGAATGAATTGTTCTTGAAGGAATGTGATTCTTTTTCCTTTTGTTTATTTTGATTTATTACATCATGGAATGGAATGAGAAATTGCAATATAATCTTTTTTATTCCATTAGAATAAAATGTTGTTTGTTTTAACTTTTACATGATGGAATGGAATGAACCATTCTTTTAGGAATGTGATTCTTTTTTCCATTTTGTTAATTTTTCATTCCTTAGCTAATGAGTGGTTCTTAATCTTATTCCATCATGGAGTGGAATAAAAAATTGCAATATAACCTATATTTTTATTTACGTAATTTTTAATGACAAATCTTTTTATTTTTAAATTTCACACTTCTAAAAAAACCATTATATTTGGGGTAGTTTTGAGGTTTAACTACTATTACTTTATTTTTTCCAATCAAACCATAATAGTTTCAGATATTTTTCCAAATTAACCATTTTGACCTAAATGAAGTTTTTCACAGTAATATGAGCGAAAATGGTAATTTCCCAAAATAACCATTCTAACATATGCTATTTCACGTAAAAAAAGGTTAATTTGGAAATTAAATTGTATGAAACTTTTTTGGTTTGATTGGAAAAATAAACTATAAGTGGTTAAGCTTCAAAATCGCCCAAATATAATGTACAAAGTAGAGTTAAAACTATATACATTGAATCAACATATGATATAAAAAATTTCATTCCATTCCTACATGCCAACCAAACATGATCATGGAATGTAATGACTCATTCCATTCCCTTGCTTATTCCATTCCAATCCAACTAAACAGACCTTTAACACTTACATTGACTCATAACATTTATCATCTTTTTGTGGCTAATGACAGATAATTATCGTTGTTGTGGTAATTATTGTTGGTGCTTTTGAAGTTGATGATTCAAATTGGTCACCTTTTGCTCCAAATGGTTTTAAATCTGTGTTAACAGGAGCAACTGTTGCTTTTTTTGCATATGTTGGATTTGATGCAGTTGCTAATTCAGCTGAAGAATCTAAGAGACCACAGGTATCTTATATTTATAATTTATTTGATTATTTAAAGCTTATTATATCTTATATTATAAACTTAAATCACAAAAATGAAAAATGTCCACCTTTTCAACATTTATCACAAAATAACTATCTATTTCTTAAAAAAAAGTTCATCATATTTCGCAAAATTTTATTTTTTTGTGAAAATGATATAATATTTTGTGAAAATGACGTCATATCACAAAATAAAAAAAAAATGTGAATTTTTTTAGAAAAAAGAATAATGGTTACATTACATGGGAGATTTAAAAATAGTAAAACTCAATCTAGTTGTTACATTGGGAACTTAAACATATTTGTTATATGGGGAATTTAAAAAAAATTGGTTACAACATTTTTATTATTATTATTATTGCATGGAGAATCTAAAATTTACTACATTGGTAACACATGAGTGACTCTTTCCCAATGATGACATATACATAATCACTTAAAAAAACCATCTTCCATGTTCCTTTTAAAAAACCTTGGGATTTTTTTATTTTGGGAAATTATGTCATTTTTCAAGAAATTTGATTTAAAAAAAAGTAGGGTTAATCTCATAAAACACCTTATATTTTGTGTTTTTCCGGATTAAACCTCAACTTTATTTTTTGCCTGAAAAAGACCTTGTATTTTTCTTTTTTTCCAAAAAAAACCCTCAAATTTGTCTTTTTTTTTTCCAAAAAAAAACCCTCAACTTTTTTAGATTTTCTCGAAAAAAACCCTCACATTTTACAATTTTTTTTGGAAAAAATGACTAAAAGGGCCGGATCAGAAAAAATGAAAAAATACAAGGTCTTTTTCTGGCAAAAAAAAAAACTTGAGGTTTAATCCGGAAAAAACACAAAATATAAGGTCTTTTATAAGATTAACCCAAAAAAGTAATATCTCAAACTTTTTTTTTCCCAAAAACAGGTGGTCATTTTTTAATAAATGTTGAAAAGTAATACCTCTTTTGGTTATTTTTTTTTTGTGATTAACTCTATTATAACAGATAAAGATTCTTATTTTTGTTTATTTTTTTTTTGGAAATTATGTCAGAGGGATTTACCAATAGGCATCATTGGAAGCCTTGTTGTTTGTGTAGCATTATACATTGGTGTTTCTTTAGTGATCACTGGAATGATACCTTACAAATATCTTGGAGAAGATGCTCCTTTGGCTGAAGCTTTTAAATCAAAAGGATTAAATTTTGTATCCACTTTAATCAGCATTGGGGCTGTTGCTGGGCTTACAACTACCCTTTTAGTTGGGCTTTATGTTCAGGTAAGTAAGCCCAATAACTTAAAGTAGTGTTTTTGGTAAACGATGGAATCGGAATCGGTTATTCCATTGGAATGAAAAAAAGTTGTTTCTATTGGCATGATGGAATGGACCTGTTTTTCATAGTAAATTTTTTAATGATACAATTTTTTTTTAAGGATTTCATGATTTTAATTAAATTATATTTTATTTTGGGCAAATTACAGAAAAACCATTATATTTTTGGCAAGTTTGCGGTTTAATTACTTTTACTTTATTTTTTTCCAATAAAAACATAAAAGTTTCAGATATATATCTTTTTTCAATTCAATCATTTTGACCTGATATAAGAGGTCAAAATGGTTAAATTGAAAAAAAGTGTACAGTTTAATTGGAAAAAATAAAGTATTGTTGGTTAAACTGCAAAACTGCCCAAAAATAATGTTTTTTTGCGCTTTTATTTTCTAAAAACAAATTATAGAATATATATTTTTTATTATTATAGCCTTATTTCGGTTTGTAATGAGCTTCTATTATTGTCTAATTTTCATTTTTGTAAATAAAGAAAAAACATCATAAATGGTCCCTGTGGTTACTCAAAATCTGAAGTTTAGTCCCCGTGGTTTAAAAACCTCATAGATGGTCCCTGTGTTTTCAAAACTTTTGACGGTTGGTCCTTATTGCTAACTCCGTTAAGTTTTGTCTGTTAACTGAAGGGTATTTTCGTCTATAACTCTACCTTGTACAGTTGTACTCACATATAACATAAAATAATTCATATAAGAGAGGGAGAGTTCATGTCATTCCTATAAGCCAATGAAACATGATCATGGAATGTAATCACTCATTCCATTCCACTCTATTTTACTTTTTCAAAAAATAATAACTTTTTTTTGTTATGACATGAACAGTCACGATTATATCTTGGGCTTGGAAGAGACGGTTTATTACCTGCAATATTTGCTCGTGTTCATCCAACACGCCACACTCCAATTCAGTCTCAAATTTGGGTTGGATTTATTGCATGTCTTTTAGCTGGACTTTTTGAATGTGCATTTGCTCTCACATGTTCTCTCAGTTGGCTCATTGGTAATAATAATAATAAATAATAATTTTAATATAATTTTACATCAAAATGCTATAATTTGTTAGATTTGTCAAAGTGCAATTGTTAATAAGAAATACAAAAAGAAAATGGAAGCAAGATTCTGTAATAAAGAAATAAATCAAAATATGTTGATATTTCTCGGATTTATGCAAAAAACGGGAAGAAGCATTTTCATTCTTTTTTTAATTATAAATATTCCAAGCTTCACTCAATAAATCATGTATTTCATTGGTCTGAATGCAATGAAATACTACATTATACTTTCATTATTTTCTTTATTAAGAAATTCTACTTTTATTAAAACGTTTACTTTGAAAAATCTAACGAATTATGGCATTGAAATTTGCTTTGTATTCAAACTACAATGTTGTAATAGGAAGAAATGAAAGTAGAATGCTATAATAAACAAATTAATAAAATTACATTGCTACACAGTACACAGTACACAGGACAAACAGTCTTGTCATGTCATGTCATGTCATGACCAGAGATGATGAAGTGAAACATTTTTTATTGAGTACAGGCAGGATATTCAGTAGTGGCAGCATGTGTAATAACTCTTCGATGGAAGGACAATATTGGAAATCAAATTTCATCATCCATCTTGGTGTCAGTGACACATAGGCAAGAAGGCATCATATGCATTGTTGTCATTGCTTCTTGTGGTTTTGCTGCTGGAATTGTTTTTCGTTATGTCGTTTCTGCCCTTGCCTTTATATTTCTTATTATTCCAATCGCCATTGCTTTACTTGCTACTGCAGCTCTTCGATTTTGCCAGGTCAGCAAATACCAACACACTTTCATGTCTTTAAAAAATTTACACTACTATTTTTTTTCTCTAATGCATATTTTTTTTTTATAAAATTGTTGTAGGAACAAACAAAAGCATCAGGTTTCTCTTGCCCATGGGTTCCAATTGTGCCTTCTCTTTGCATCTTTGTGAACATATTTTTATTTGCTCAGGTTTGCTTTTTGAATACCTTTACGAAAATATTATATAATAAAGGGTTAATCTCATAAAAGACCTTATGTTTTGTGTTTTTTTTTTTTTTTCTGGATTAAACCTCATCTTTATTTTTTTCATGAAAAAGACCTTATATCTTTTCATTTTTTCCGAAAAAACCCTCAACCTTCTAAATGTCTCCAAATAAATCCTTAACTTTTTTAGTTTTTTCAGAACCCCCCCCCCCCCCCCCCCACACACACACACACACACATTTTACAACTTTTTTTAGAGAAAAATCACTAAAAGATCCAGATCGGAAAAAATGAAAAAATACAAGGTCTTTTGCATAAAAAAAAGTTGAGGTTTAATCTGGAAAAAACACAAAATATAAGGTCTTTTATGAGATTAACCCTATAACAAAACCATATTAAAAATTATTGTATTGATAATTGATCTTTTTTTTTTAAAAAGAAAAAAAAAAACATTTGAGAAAATCACAACACATTTGGACAAATCAAAAGAAAAAAATAAATGAAGGAAAAGACTTAATGTGAAAGGCATTCTTTCCCAAGGCTTTCTCTATCAAGTCATTATTTTTTCATCAAGTAAAAAAAACACAACTACACAAGTAATTTTAACTTGAAATTTTAATAATGTTAAATGCAAAAAATAGCAACGTATTTTTCATTGATTTGTTCATATTACAAAATTGTATTTTGAGAAATCCACCCAGTTATAGCAATGTCATCAAAATATAAATTTTTTTTTACATTAAACTATTATAAATATTTATTGTGATATATTAATTGATTTTAACTTTCAAATCTTTAGCTTCACTATGAAGCCTGGATGAGATTTATTGTCCTAAGCATTGTGGCGGTTGGTGTATATGCTTTTTACGGGCAATATCATGCGAATCCTGTAACCGATCGCGAAACTGTTATTTACCAAAAAGCCCCTGATGAAGAAGCTCTATAATTTTTGTATTATTGTATATAAGTTTAAACTGAATAACCATTAGTATGAATTATGTAAGTTTTGCTAGTCATGTGTATCCACTGTTTGTTAGAATAGTAAGGCACGATAGACTGCTGCATTTGATGTGTATTGGACTGAGATTGATGTCAATGAGACAAAAATTGCAAATTTTTGTCTCAACTAAAAAGACCAGACAAAGACTCCCTTTTAATCTCTCATTTTTGGAAAAGACATGAATATCCTTGTTCGGTTCCATCTTGTGTTGTGTAGCAATTACACATGCAAGCTAAATACAAAGATCACCCTCAAACCTAAGGGTATATTTGGCAAAACTAGCGTTTAGCTGAAAGATGAAGCTTTTGTTTGTATGGAAGTGTTTTGCAAAAATAGCTATAAGATTTTGAAAGGCCTAAATTTACATAAAAACTAAAAGCTAAGAGATCTTAAAAGCTAAAATCTCTTAAAAAAAACTACTTGAAGTAGCTTTTAAATTATGAATTTTTTTTTAATAAAAGCTTTAAGTGCTCGTATTTCAAAACAAAGTTTTTTTTTTTCTTTAATTTAACTTGAAGTATTTCTTAAAAGCTAAAAGTTCAAAAGTTGTGACAAACATACTCCTAACATCTCACATGATGCATTTTTGGATGAGATTGTATGAGGCACTTGCTATTGGAAGAACAACCCTTTTGGAGAAACTATAAAGACCCGATTTAACCAAAATAAACTAAGAACTAAAATCATAAATGATCTAACACTATATTTAATGAATACATTACACATTTTTAACAAGATCAAAGTCGAATGGATGTACAAAATTGTTACAAAGACTATGAATTTAATCACATACGACATCAGAGTAAAATGCGATGGTTCTCCTTGTACAATCCTTAACACCAAGTAGTTCCACATCAAAAACTTCAAACTGTTTTGCGCTAAAGAATGTAGAAGGCCCAACCTACAAATTATAAAAAAATGACCTTCAAGAGTCAAACCTAACAAATTTCAAATTCAAACTTTTCCACTAGTGTACTTATTGATTGAATGTTGTAATTGCCTCATAAATTTCAAATTTAAATTCTTCCATTATACTCAATAAGTCTTAATACGTGTTGAGAATTTATAGATTTTAACTATTTCTTATTTTACAAAAACCATTGTTTTTTTTTTAAGTATTGTTCACAAAATACCATTAAAATAAGGGTATTATGTGAACAAAACGTTTCAGTTGCTTACCTTTTGATAGTACTTTTAAAAAACAATGGTGTTTTGTAATAAAAGCAAATAGTTTGTTACCTAGACATTAAATGAAAGGTCCACATGGATGCCAAGTCAGCACCATGTGGATACATTTTTAACTATTAAGTCGCTCATGAGTAATAAAGGTAATGCACGTTAGATGGTCATATTTGATAACATTTTCTTTTTTTTTACAACTACACACTATACATTATTTGATAAAAATTGTTATTAATAAAAATAGAAAATAAACATAATAAAAACTCATCAACATAAATCTAAAATAAGATTATAATGAAAATATATAGATTCTAGTGGTTTTTAGAAAATAAGATTACATTTTAAAAAAAGCTCATGATTTTTTTTTTTATAAAAAAAAATACAAAATGGCTAAGGAATATAAAAATTAACTCACTGGAGGTCCAAGTTCTGGAGGAATGATGATTCTCCTCTTCCCACCAGGTTTCATATCTTTTATGCCTTCTTCAAATCCTGTATCAATATAGGCAATGTACTTTATTTTTAACTTATAAACATGAATTCTAAGTATCAAATGATTTGTTATAAAAAAAAAAAACCAAAATTAAGTCTGACTACTACTTCAATATTAACTTTTCAGTCGATTTTTCAACCCAAAAAGTCAATAAATTTGAATGAAAGAGTCAAACATTTAATGAGTTGTTTCTGAACTTTAAATTGAATTCAAGAAGTACTAGGTTGACTTTTTTGCATCAAACAAGTTGCTTTTAAATTTCCATAGAAAAATTGTAAAAAATAGCAACGTACTATACTCTTTTTTTAGAAATATAGACAATGTACTTTCTTCTTACATTTTCTTTACACATAATTGCAATGTACTTATAATTCTTTAATAGTTATAGCAACATACTTTCATTTCTTTATTGATAAGTATGTTGCTATTATGAGAAAAAGTAAAGTACATTGCTCATTTTGGTAAGAAAATATTTAAAAAAAAAAAAAAAAAAAAAAAAAAAAAAAAAAAGCTGACCTGGTACCAATGCATTGGTGCCCATTCGTATTTTGGCGGGAGTGCCTTGTTGATAACTGCTATCGATACGACGCCCGGATTCATTGTAACCAATATAATGAAAAGTCACCTACAAAAAAAAAATAAATAAATAAATAAATCATCAATAAATGAAAGTACATTGCTATTTCTTGAATGTAGATGCAGTCGAAAGAAAAATAATATGAAGAAATGGAAAAACCTGCTGACCAGACTTTGGGACATCACCGGTTCCAACTACAAAGTCACGGTATATAAGTCCGGAATCACGCTTTACATAGTTTTCTGATGCAACGACTTTAACCTCAAACCCTAAATCATATTCAATAAGCTAATTGTAAACTAATATTCGAAGAAATGAAATGAAAGTATTTCTTCCATTTATCCCCCATAATAAATAAAAGATAAGAAACAAAAAAAAAGGGTAGACCTTCTCGAACAAAACTTGGGAACTCATCTGGTGCATTATTTTCTCTCTGAACCCTTTTATTTTGTTCGAGTAGGCGTTTTTCATCATATGGGTTCTTCATCTTTGTTTTCCCAATTGAGGGTAGAGTTGGAAATAAGCTTGAAGAGACAAGAAACACAAGGAGTCGTCTACCCTTCAAATTCTCCATGGTTCCATTCTGTTCTCTAGCCATGCATGACATACATTTACTAAGAAACTAAACAATTTGTTAAAGGAACTAGAATAATGTATAAAAAGTAATTTGAAGTTTTTACCTTTCATCTTTCAAGTTGCAAATTGTGCAACAATGGAGAGAATACATTTTTTGATTTGAAATATCTCCTAAACTAGGAAAAGATGTGAGGGATCTATCTGCATGTTACATGTTTTAAGCCATTAGTACTAGCAGCAGGGGTAAAAAAGGAATTGTTCTTCAGTAGGTTGTTGGGAGAGAAGTGCATTCTTCACTTTAAAGTTATTTTAAATCAAAATCGAAACTTAATTTACCAAAGTTCCCAATTCCCAAATACAGTGAGGTTGATTCTTCAAGAATGATGAAAGAAATATGATCCTACACAACTATATTTTACTTAATCTGTACACCGCATTGCTTACAAAAGGGTTAAATCTTACACTTTCTTTGAGACATTTCATCAGTCATGTGGTATGCTTTTCAAAATTATAATTTCAATCCATTAATATCTGCGTCTGAGAGGCGGGAGAAACTTACGTGGAAAAGGAAATGAAGGCTTTAGTTGAAGAGGTGGAGATGAGAGCGTCAGCATACTGCAGAGCTTGAGAGCTATGGAGAGCAGCTTGTGCTAGCGTCTATGGCGAACGCGATAGGCTTTTATTTGGCTTATCTTCAAATTGTCAAATATCTCACTTTGGCCACTTTAATTTCATAATATTAGCAATTTCACCTCCAAACTTTACGTTTTCACTCACATCTCTTACAAAATAACGATCTTTCACTTCTAGATATCATCTGACTATTGGAGTATCTTTTTTATATCTATTCTAATAAAAGAATAGTTATAATCTCCTTTTGATATGTGTCATTCTATTAAGCCTCTTAATTAATACATATTTTATTTTTCTTTTGTCATGTGTCACACTATTAGGTCTCGTAATTAATGCATGCCAATTGTCAACCTATTAATTCTTAATTTCATATTTCAAAATTTAAATTTACCACTCAAATTACATTAAATTAATAACATTACAATAAAAATTAAAATAAAATTAATATAAATTATAAAGTGATATAATTTCACATATTTATTTAAATTAACGATTATGATTTTATATAACTAAAAAATATCTCTAAATTAATAATTTATTTAAAATAACTGATTAACAATTTTGAATATTCGCTATGAAAATTTAATTAATTTTGTAACCGTGGTTCCCACGGATTATAAACTAGTTTTATAATAAAGTTTAATTAGGTAAAAATTGGGTTTTATTTTTAATAAAAATAAACAAAATATATTAAAATTTGTAGCAAAACTTTATATACAAATGGACCTACATTAACGTATTTTGTATATATATCTTATTATTTTTTTTTATGATTGTAGTTATAGAATTTTATTTTGTTTTCAATTTAATTTAAAAAAATATTTATAATTTTTTTAATTTTAGAAATAATATGAACTAAATAAAAATATTAAAATTTTATGTGTCAATTTAAGTTGCTAGATATATTTTTTTATATTATTTTAATTTCCAAAAAACTTAATATGATAATATAAAATTGTAATTTATAAAGGTTACTGAAAGATAGGCCCTGGTGAGCACGAACTCGTGGATGTTGATCTTTGAAATAGTTCTACCACATAAGTACAAATAATGTGAGTAAAATCAAGAAAATATGTTTGGTTGGTTTGCGGTGGTTCTTTGGGTTTATTAACATTATAAATGGTATTGAAGCAACCTAAGCATAATGAATTTTACCTCCACAACCTACATTTGGTTTAAAAAAAACTTGTTTATACATAAAACAACCAATTAGATCAATTCAGATACAATAGTTATAATAATCATACAATCAAAATGAAATATGTAACTAATTGATCATTCATAGTTCTTATCATACTGAACAAAAAAGATATAACATATATACATGTAAACATACAAATATAAAAAAGAAAACACAAACTAAAATCGTCCCAACAACATCATGGATCAATCCTTCAAGCATTCAATAAACGCTCTTCATTCTTTGATATTTTGATCAACATAGGTGAGCATGTCGATAACATAAATGCTTGTTAATAAATATGATAACATCTGGCAGACTGACCATGTCGATAACATAAAGGCTTGTTATTATTATTATTTTTAAACAACAAACTATCTCAC